GAGGTGCAGGGTCTAAGTATTAACAGATTTTCCCCAGAGCTCCTAATGGTGGAGATGGATTTGGCTGCGTGCTAATACCAGGTCGCAGATCTCGGGATCACCCCACCAGGGAATGAACAAGCTGGAAACCAAAAGCGGATCAAACAGATTAGGGATCAAACAGAAGCGGAGTCAGTCATAAGCCAAGGATCGGTCACAAATGGTAGTAGATAGGATGAGGCAGAATCATAGTCAGTAGCAAGCCAAAGGTCGGTAACAAAGATGTAGACAGCAGCAGGAACAGTAAGCGGGATATTGGCTGGGAAGGCACAATAATCTGGCAAGGAGGAAATGTATGGACATGGCTTTTATAGGAAGTTCATGGGAGAAGCAAGGAGTTCAAGGTTCAAGACAAACAGGGCCAAGGCAGGATCATCCAAAGAATTGTCAAGGGAGCTGTCCAGCATTCCATGTGGCTCAGTGAGAAGAAACATTGCCTCTCACCTCAGAAGGCCCAGGTTCAATCCCAGGCTCTGACACTCCCTACACAGCACAAAAAAAAAAACAGTCAGTGTAGAGCATGAATCTGGAACAAATATACCTCCCATCTTGGACATATCCCTTAGTTCTTCCTGTCACAACTGGTGGTACAAAATGTTCCTAAGCCCCCAAGAAAAAACAGTCACCTTTCTAGACCAAAAAGGATTCTACACCTGAAGAAGATTTGTCTGATATAGTACAGTTATACAGAGGAAAAGAAAAAATACATGGGTTTCTATCAAATGGCACAGGTAGAACTCATGACTAGAGATGAGCGAATCGAAGTATCCGAAGTGGAATTCGAGTCGAATATCGGAAAAATTTCGATTCGTGCCAAATCCGAAAAATAGCCTAATTCGGACGCGCGAATCGAAATTTTTCAGAAAATGGCGGCTGACATGTGCGGCGACGGAGCGGGGATGTCTGGGAAGGCGCGCAGACAAGGCGCGCTGACCCATAATGCATTCCTCAATTACATGTGATCGCATCAGCCAATCAGCAGCCAGCCAGCCAGCACTGTGTAATGGTCGAGCTATAAATAGCGGCCATTTTGGAATTCTTCATTTGCCTGCAGTCATTGAACAGAGGCAGACCGCTCTGTACTAGGAACAGGGACAGAGTTAGGGCCACAGAAACGATAATTGGGGACAGAGAAAAGTTACTTAGGGACAGAGAACCATTACTCAGGGACACAGACTTGTTAATGAGGGCCACAGAATCGTTATTTAGGGACAAAGAAACGCTAGTTAGGGCCACAGAATTCATACTCAGGGACAGACAGAATTGTTACTCAGTGCCAGAGAATTGTTACTTAGCCACAGAAACGTTATTAGGGCCACAGAATTTTTACTCAGGGACAGACAGAATTGTTACTGAGTGCCAGAGAATTGTTACTCAGGGACAGACAGAATTGTTACTGAGTGCCAGAGAATTGTTACTTAGGGCCACAGAAACTTTAATTAGGGCCACAGAATTTTTACTCAGGGACAGACAGAATTGTTACTGAGTGCCAGAGAATTGTTACTCAGGGACAGACAGAATTGTTACTGAGTGCCAGAGAATTGTTACTTAGGGCCACAGAAACTTTACTTAGGGCCACAGAATTTTTACTCAGGGACAGACAGAATTGTTACTGAGTGCCAGAGAATTGTTACTCAGGGACAGACAGAATTGTTACTGAGTGCCAGAGAATTGTTACTCAGGGCCCACAGAAACTTTACTTAGGGCCACAGAATTTTTACTCAGGGACAGACAGAATTGTTACTGAGTGCCAGAGAATTGTTACTCAGGGACAGACAGAATTGTTACTGAGTGCCAGAGAATTGTTACTTAGGGCCACAGAAACTTTACTTAGGGCCACAGAATTGTTACTCGCACAGACACAGAATTGTTACTCGCACAGACACAGAATTGTTACTGAAGGCCACAGAACTGTTTACTTAGGGCCACAGAATTGTTACTCGCACAGACACAGAATTGTTACTCGCACAGACACAGAACTGTTACTGAGGGCCACAGAACTGTTACTTAGGGCCACAGAATTGTTACTCGCACAGACACAGAATTGTTACTCAGGCCACAGAACTGTTACTTAGGGACAAAGAAACGCTAGTTAGGGCCACAGAATTCATACTCAGGGACAGACAGAATTGTTACGGAGTGCCAGAGAATTGTTACTCAGGGCCACAGAAACTTTACTTAGGGCCACAGAATTTTTACTCAGGGACAGACAGAATTGTTACTGAGTGCCAGAGAATTGTTACTCAGGGACAGACAGAATTGTTACGGAGTGCCAGAGAATTGTTACTCAGGGCCACAGAAAATTTTACTTAGGGCCACAGAATTTTTACTCAGGGACAGACAGAATTGTTACTGAGTGCCAGAGAATTGTTACTCAGGGACAGACAGAATTGTTTACTGAGTGCCAGAGAATTGTTACTCAGGGACAGACAGAATTTTGTTTACGGAGTGCCCACAGAATTGTTACTCAGGGACAGACAGAATTGTTACTGAGTGCCAGAATTGTTAATTGAACTGTTACTGAGGCCACAGAAACTTTACTTAGGTTACTCCACAGACACAGAATTGTTACTCGCACAGACACAGCCACAGAATTGTTACTCGCACAGGGACACAGAATTGTTACTAGGGCCACAGAAACTTTTACTTAGGGCCACAGAATTGTTACTCAGGGCACAGACACAGAATTGTTTAGGGCCACGCACAGTTACGTAGGGCCACAGAACTGTTACTGAGGGCCACAGAATTGTTACTTAGGGCCACAGAAATTGTTACTCGCACAGAATTTACAGCCACAGAATTGTTTACTCAGAGACAGAATTGTTACTAGGGACAAAGAAACGCTAATTGTTAGGGCCACAGAATTACTCAGGGACAGACAGAATTGTTACGGAGTGTTACTCAGGGACAGACACAGAATTGTTACTGCCAGAGAATTGTTACTAGGCCACAGAAACTTTACTTAGGGCCACAGAATTTTTTACTCAGGGACAGACAGAATTGTTACTGAGAATTGTTGCCCACAGAAACTTTAGAATTGTTACTCAGACAGGACACAGAATTGTTACTCAGGGACAGAATTGTTACTGAGTGCCAGAGAATTGTTACTTAGGGCCACAGAACTTTACTTAGGGCCACAGAATTTTTACTCAGGGACAGACAGACAGAATTGTTACTGAGTGCCAGAGAATTGTTACTCAGGGCCACAGACACAGAATTGTTACTGAGGGCCACAGAATTTTTTACTCAGGGACAGACAGAATTGTTTACAGGAGTGCCAGAGAATTGTTACAGGGACAGACAGAATTGTTACTGAGTGCCAGAGAATTGTTACTCAGGGACAGAAACTTTACGGAGTGCCACAGAATTGTTACTCAGGGCCACAGAAACTTTACTTAGGGCCACAGAATTTTTACTCAGGGACAGACAGAATTGTTACTGAGTGCCAGAGAATTGTTACTCAGGGCCACAGAAACTTTACTTAGGGCCACAGAATTTTTACTCAGGGACAGACAGAATTGTTACTGAGTGCCAGAGAATTGTTACTCAGGGACAGACAGAATTGTTACTGAGTGCCAGAGAATTGTTACTTAGGGCCACAGAAACTTTACTTAGGGCCACAGAATTGTTTACTCGCACAGACACAGAATTGTTACTCGCACAGACACAGAATTGTTACTGAAGGCCACAGAACTTTTACTTAGGGCCACAGAATTGTTACTCGCACAGACACAGAATTGTTACTCGCACAGACACAGAACTGTTACTGAGGGCCACAGAACTGTTACTTAGGGCCACAGAATTGTTACTCGCACAGACACAGAATTGTTACTCAGGGCCACAGAACTGTTACTTAGGGACAAAGAAACGCTAGTTAGGGCCACAGAATTCATACTCAGGGACAGACAGAATTGTTACGAGTGCCAGAGAATTGTTACTCAGGGCCACAGAAACTTTAATTAGGGCCACAGAATTTTTACTCAGGGACAGACAGAATTGTTACTGAGTGCCAGAGAATTGTTACTCAGGGACAGACAGAATTGTTACGGAGTGCCAGAGAATTGTTACTCAGGGCCACAGAAACTTTACTTAGGGCCACAGAATTTTTACTCAGGGACAGACAGAATTGTTACTGAGTGCCAGAGAATTGTTACTCAGGGACAGACAGAATTGTTACTGAGTGCCAGAGAATTGTTACTCAGGGCCACAGAAACTTTACTTAGGGCCACAGAATTTTTACTCAGGGACAGACAGAATTGTTACGGAGTGCCAGAGAATTGTTACTCAGGGCCACAGAAACTTTAATTAGGGCCACAGAATTTTTACTCAGGGACAGACAGAATTGTTACTGAGTGCCAGAGAATTGTTACTCAGGGACACATAATCGTTGAATTAAAGAGTATGTCAGACAACATGCAGAGGAGTGGCAGAGGAGGCAATTTTTTTTTAGGAGCGAGCAGACGTGGCAGCAGAGGAAGGGGTCGAGGCAGCACTATTCGCAGCCAGAGGCCAGTGCTCCCGGTGTCATCCAGCGGTCGTGTCTCCACCGACAACCCTGCCGTCATTGATTGGTTGGCTCGGTCGTCTTCCTCTTCCCAGGTCACCTCTGACACCTACAGCCAACGGTCGGTGGGTACGTCAGACACAACCGTTAGTTGGCATGGCCCGGGAGCAAGCCCACTGAAATCACATGTCCTCTACCTGCCCCTGTCCTTTGCTGTTCCCTCACCAAGCGAAGTATCGCATGCTGTGGGCTCAGCCCCACTGTACAGTGAGGAAGAGCTAACAGAGGGCGGTCAGGAACGGGGGGGAGACATCGGCCTTTTCAGCAGCCAGGCGAAGAAGTACTGGCGAGGAGAGTGACATAGGGTGCTGGCAGATTACGGACCTCCCATAGCTGCTGCCAGGCCCCTAATCTGCCATGGGCCCCTATATACCGCCTCCTCATGCTGCTGCCAAGTCCAGAGTCTCTCATGGGTCCCTGTACGGCCTCCCATTGCTGCTGTCTCCATCGCCACACACTCTGCCATGTGCCACTTTCAGGTCTCCTCACACACTGCTGGTGTGTAGAATTTTTTGACATAGGGTGCTGGCAGATTACGGGCCCCCTATAGCTGCTGCCAGGCCCCTAATCTGCCATGGGCCCCTATATACCGCCTCCTCATGCTGCTGCCAGTTCCAGAGTCTCTCATGGGTCCCTGTACGGCCTCCCATTGCTGCTGTCTCCATCGCCACACTCTGCCATGTGCCACTTTCAGGTCTCCTCACACACTGCTGGTGTGTAGAATTTTTTGACACATAGGGTGCTGGCAGATTACGGGCCCCCTATAGCTGCTGCCAGGCCCCTAATCTGCCATGGGCCCCTATATACCGCCTCCTCATGCTGCTGCCAGTTCCAGAGTCTCTCATGGGTCCCTGTACGGCCTCCCATTGCTGCTGTCTCCATCGCCACACTCTGCCATGTGCCACTTTCAGGTCTCCTCACACACTGCTGGTGTGTTGAATTTTTTGACATAGGGTGCTGGCAGATTACGGGCCCCCTATAGCTGCTGCCAGGCCCCTAATCTGCCATGGGCCCCCTATATACCGCCTCCTCATGCTGCTGCCAAGTCCAGAGTCTCTCATGGGTCCCTGTACGGCCTCCCATTGCTGCTGTCTCCATCGCCACACTCTGCCATGTGCCACTTTCAGGTCTCCTCACTTTCAGTGGTGTCTCCTCACACTGGTGTGTTGAATTTTTTGACATAGGGTGCTGGCAGATTACGGGCCTCCCATAGCTGCTGCCAGGCCCCTAATCTGCCATGGGCCCCTATATACCGCCGCCTCCTCATGCTGCTGCCAAGTCCAGAGTCTCTCATGGGTCCCTGTACGGCCTCCCATTGCTGCTGTCTCCATCGCCACACTCTGCCATGTGCCACTTTCAGGTCTCCTCACACACTGCTGGTGTGTTGAATTTTTTTTGACATAGGGTGCTGGCAGATTACGGGCCTCCCATAGCTGCTGCCAGGCCCCTAATCTGCCATGGGCCCCTATATACCGCCTCCTCATGCTGCTGCCAAGTCCAGAGTCTCTCATGGGTCCCTGTACGGCCTCCCATTGCTGCTGTCTCCATCGCCACACTCTGCCATGTGCCACTTTCAGGTCTCCTCACACACTGCTGGTGTGTGTTGAATTTTTTGACATAGGGTGCTGGCAGATTACGGGCCTCCCATAGCTGCTGCCAGGCCCCTAATCTGCCATGGGCCCCCTATATACCGCCTCCTCATGCTGCTGCCAAGTCCAGAGTCTCTCATGGGTCCCTGTACGGCCTCCCATTGCTGCTGTCTCCATCGCCACACTCTGCCATGTGCCACACTTTCAGGTCTCCTCACACACTGCTTGTGTGTTGAATTTTTTGACATAGGGTGCTGGCAGATTACGGGCCTCCCATAGCTGCTGCCAGGCCCCTAATCTGCCATGGGCCCCTATATACCGCCTCCTCATGCTGCTGCCTGCCAGTCCAGAGTCTCTCATGGGTCCCTGTACGGCCTCCCATTGCTGCTGTCTCCATCGCCACACTCTGCCATGTGCCACTTTCAGGTCTCCTCACACACTGCTGTGTGTGTTCAATTTTTTGACATAGGGTGCTGGCAGATTACGGGCCTCCCATAGCTGCTGCCAGGCCCCTAATCTGCCATGGGCCCCTATATACCGCCTCCTCATGCTGCTGCTGACAGTTGCATAGGTGGAATCCCAACCCTCCCCATGTTGACCGCCTTTATCGCCACACTCTGCCATGTGCCACTTTCAGGTCTCCTGTTTAAAACGGATGCTCCCTGTGTTGAATTTTTTGACATAGCCATGGCAGCTCATACGGGACACCTGCCGCTTGCTGCCAGGAGGCCCCTAATCTGCCATCGGCAGGCCTATGGGATATACCGTCATTCCTCTGCTGCTGTCCTGGAACAAATGTCTGTTAACAATGGTCCTGGTACGGCCTCCCATTGTGCGCACAGATCCATCGCCACACTCTGCCATGACCCCTGTTCAGGTCTCCTCACAACTGGAGGTGGTAGAGGAGGACATAGGGTGCTCAGCAGATTACGGGCCTCCCATAGCTGCTGTGAAATGGGTGGGCCCCTTTTTCCACTCAGCGGACAGTCCAGAGTGGAGGAGCCTCCCATTGCTGGAGCATCTCTGCCATAGAGGAGGAGGAGGAGGAGACAGAGGACCCAGACGCACCGTGCTGCCTGGCCATGTATGCTGTGGAGATGGAGGCAGGGAGTCCCTCGCATTCCTTGGCACAAATGTGTACCCATAGCATTGCTCTGTCTTGCACACTCTGCTGCATGTTGCCTAGCGACAGCCGAATAATAACCACAGACTGGTGTGATGACTTTTGGCTGTCCACCTTGCTGGGTCCCCTCGCCTCCGGTCCAAAATGGTGGCCTTTTTCACAGGCCCTGCTGAGAGGGAGGCCAAAATTACGTACTATAAAAACCACCTCCTCATGCTGTTGTTGGGTCTCTGCCTCTTGTGCCTGTACGTCCATCCTCAGACATGCTGGGCCCTGCTGCGCTCGCATCCGCTGGCCCTGGCTGCAGCAGGGAGGGGTGGGGTGGTCAGCACTGCTGGCAGTCCACCAGCAGCGGCTGCCTCTCAGGGTGCTGCAGTCGATGACGAGTAGCTTTCTTGCTGCTGCCAGGCCAGAATCTGCAGTACTAACCACTACTAACCAGCACAGCAGCAGCAGCCTCCATTTTTTCAGCATCTGTGCTGGCAGATTACTGGAGCAGGAGCTCAAACATTCAGGCTTGGGGGGCCTACTTGGACAGCCCCTGCCAACCGAGGTAGACAATCCCCTGACTACTGGGCCGAAACTTGACCTTTGCTGCCTCCAACTAGCCACATTTGCCCTTGCCACTTCTGTCTGCCCACAGTACACTGCATCGTGAGCGCGTTTTTTTGACATAGGTGCTGCAACTTACGGGGACACATACTGCTGCCACCCAAATCTGCCATGAGGACCCGTTTGTGAAAATGAATCAGGCTGCTGCCATTAGTCCTGGAGTTCTCAACCACCAGTTCCGGCCTCCAACTGACTGCTGTCCTCCATCGCCATGCCTCTGCCATGTGCCACTTTCAGGTCTCCTCACACACACTGCTGGTGTGTGTTGAATTTTTTGACATAGGGTGCTGGCAGATTACGGGCCTCCCATAGCTAGCTGCTGCCAGGCCCCTAATCTGCCATAGGCCCCTATATACCCGCCTCCTCATGCTGCTGCCAAGTCCAGAGTCTCTCATGGGTCCCTGTACGGCCTCCCATTGCTGCTGCTGTCTCCATCGCCACACTCTGCCATGTGCCCACATTCAGGTCTCTCACACTGCTGGTGTGTAGAATTTTTTGACATAGGGTGCTGGCAGATTACGGGCCTCCCATAGCTGCTGCCAGGCCCCTAATCTGCCATGGGCCCCTATATACCGCCTCCTCATGCTGCTGCCAAGTCCAGAGTCTCTCATGGGTCCCTGTACGGCCTCCCATTGCTGCTGCTGTCTCCATCGCCACACTCTGCCATGTGCCACTTTCAGGTCTCCTCACACACTGCTTGTGTTTCAATTTTTTGACATAGGGTGCTGGCAGATTACGGGCCTCCCATAGCTGCTGCCAGGCCCCTAATCTGCCATGGGCCCCTATATACCGCCTCCTCATGCTGCTGCCAAGTCCAGAGTCTCTCATGGGTCCCTGTACGGCCTCCCATTGCTGCTGTCTCCATCGCCACACTCTGCTCTGTGCCACTTTCAGGTCTCCTCACACACTGCTTGTGTGTTGAATTTTTTGACATAGGGTGCTGGCAGATTACGGGCCTCCCATAGCTGCTGCCAGGCCCCTAATCTGCCATGGGCCCCTATATATACCGCCTCCTCATGCTGCTGCCAAGTCCAGAGTCTCTCATGGGTCCCTGTACGGCCTCCCATTGCTGCTGTCTCCATCGCCACACTCTGCCATGTGCCACTTTCAGGTCTCTCTCACACACACACTGCTGTGTGTTTGAAATTTTTTGACATAGGGTGCTGGCAGATTACGGGCCTCCCATAGCTGCTGCCAGGCCCCTAATCTGCCATGGGCCCCCCTATATACCGCCTCCTCATGCTGCTGCCAAGTCCAGAGTCTCTCATGGGTCCCTGTACGGCCTCCCATTGCTGCTGTCTCCATCGCCACACTCTGCCATGTGCCACTTTCAGGTCTCCTCACACACTGCTGGTGTTTTGAATTTTTTGACATAGGGTGCTGGCAGATTACGGGCCTCCCATAGCTGCTGCCAGGCCCCTAATCTGCCATGGGCCCCTATATACCGCCTCCTCATGCTGCTGCCAAGTCCAGAGTCTCTCATGGGTCCCTGTACGGCCTCCCATTGCTGCTGTCTCCATCGCCACACTCTGCCATGTGCCACTTTCAGGTCTCCTCACACTGCTTGTGTGTTGAATTTTTTGACATAGGGTGCTGGCAGATTACGGGCCTCCCATAGCTGCTGCCAGGCCCCTAATCTGCCATGGGCCCCTATATACCGCCTCCTCATGCTGCTGCCAGTCCAGAGTCTCTCATGGGTCCCTGTACGGCCTCCCATTGCTGCTGTCTCCATCGCCACACTCTGCCATGTGCCACTTTCAGGTCTCCTCACACACTGCTGTGTGAATTTTTTGACATAGGGTGCTGGCAGAGATTAACGGGCCTCCCATATAGCTGCTGCCAGGCCCCTAATCTGCCATGGGCCCCTATATACCGCCTCCTCATGCTGCTGCTGCCAAGTCCAGAGTCTCTCATGGGTCCCTGTACGGCCTCCCATTGCTGCTGTCTCCATCGCCACACTCTGCCATGTGCCACTTTCAGGTCTCTCTCACACTGCTGGTGTGTTGAATTTTTTGACATAGGGTGCTGGCAGATTACGGGCCTCCCATAGCTGCTGCCAGGCCCCTAATCTGCCATGGGCCCCCTATATACCGCCTCCTCATGCTGCTGCTGCCAAGTCCAGAGTCTCTCATGGGTCCCTGTACGGCCTCCCATTGCTGCTGTCTCCATCGCCACACACTCTGCCATGTGCCACTTTCAGGTCTCCTCACACTGCTGGTGTGTTGAATTTTTTGACATAGGGTGCTGGCAGATTACGGGCCTCCCATAGCTGCTGCCAGGCCCCTAATCTGCCATGGGCCCCTATATACCGCCTCCTCATGCTGCTGCCAAGTCCAGAGTCTCTCATGGGTCCCTGTACGGCCTCCCATTGCTGCTGTCTCCATCGCCACACTCTGCCATGTGCCACTTTCAGGTCTCTCACACACTGCTGGTGTTTTGAATTTTTTGACATAGGGTGCTGGCAGATTACGGGCCTCCCATAGCTGCTGCCAGGCCCCTAATCTGCCATGGGCCCCTATATACCGCCTCCTCATGCTGCTGCCAAGTCCAGAGTCTCTCATGGGTCCCTGTACGGCCTCCCATTGCTGCTGTCTCCATCGCCACACTCTGCCATGTGCCACTTTCAGGTCTCTTCACACTGCTGTGTTTTGAATTTTTTGACATAGGGTGCTGGCAGATTACGGGCCTCCCATAGCTGCTGCCAGGCCCCTAATCTGCCATGGGCCCCTATATACCGCCTCCTCCATGCTGCTGCCAAGTCCAGAGTCTCTCATGGGTCCCTGTACGGCCTCCCATTGCTGCTGTCTCCATCGCCACACTCTGCCATGTGCCACATTCAGGTCTCCTCTCACACTGCTTGTGTTTTCAATTTTTTGACATAGGGTGCTGGCAGATTACGGGCCTCCCATAGCTGCTGCCAGGCCCCTAATCTGCCATGGGCCCCTATATACCGCCTCCTCATGCTGCTGCCAAGTCCAGAGTCTCTCATGGGTCCCTGTACGGCCTCCCATTGCTGCTGTCTCCATCGCCACACTCTGCCATGTGCCACTTTCAGGTCTCTTCACACTGCTTGTGTTTTGAATTTTTTGACATAGGGTGCTGGCAGATTACGGGCCTCCCATAGCTGCTGCCAGGCCCCTAATCTGCCATGGGCCCCTATATACCGCCTCCTCATGCTGCTGCCAAGTCCAGAGTCTCTCATGGGTCCTCATGGGTGCCTGTACGGCCTCCCATTGCTGCTGTCTCCATCGCCACACTCTGCCATGTGCCACATTCAGGTCTCTTCACACTGCTGTGTGTTTTGAATTTTTTGACATAGGGTGCTGGCAGATTACGGGCCTCCCATAGCTGCTGCCAGGCCCCTAATCTGCCATGGGCCCCTATATACCGCCTCCTCATGCTGCTGCCAAGTCCAGAGTCTCTCATGGGTCCCTGTACGGCCTCCCATTGCTGCTGTCTCCATCGCCACACTCTGCCATGTGCCACATTCAGGTCTCTCACACACTGCTTGTGTTTTCAATTTTTTGACATAGGGTGCTGGCAGATTACGGGCCTCCCATAGCTGCTGCCAGGCCCCTAATCTGCCATGGGCCCCTATATACCGCCTCCTCATGCTGCTGCCAAGTCCAGAGTCTCTCATGGGTCCCTGTACGGCCTCCCATTGCTGCTGTCTCCATCGCCACACTCTGCCATGTGCCACTTTCAGGTCTCCTCACACACTGCTGTGTGTTTGAATTTTTTGACATAGGGTGCTGGCAGATTACGGGCCTCCCATAGCTGCTGCCAGGCCCCTAATCTGCCATGGGCCCCTATATACCGCCTCCTCATGCTGCTGCCAAGTCCAGAGTCTCTCATGGGTCCCTGTACGGCCTCCCATTGCTGCTGTCTCCATCGCCACACTCTGCCATGTGCCACTTTCAGGTCTCCTCACACACTGCTGTGTGTTGAATTTTTTTGACATAGGGTGCTGGCAGATTACGGGCCTCCCATAGCTGCTGCCAGGCCCCTAATCTGCCATGGGCCCCTATATATACCGCCTCCTCATGCTGCTGCCAAGTCCAGAGTCTCTCATGGGTCCCTGTACGGCCTCCCATTGCTGCTGTCTCCATCGCCACACTCTGCCATGTGCCACATTCAGGTCTCTTCACACTGCTGTGTGTTTTCAATTTTTTGACATAGGGTGCTGGCAGATTACGGGCCTCCCATAGCTGCTGCCAGGCCCCTAATCTGCCATGGGCCCCTATATACCCGCCTCCTCATGCTGCTGCCAAGTCCAGAGTCTCTCATGGGTCCCTGTACGGCCTCCCATTGCTGCTGTCTCCATCGCCACACTCTGCCATGTGCCACTTTCAGGTCTCCTCACACACTGTGTGTTTGAATTTTTTGACATAGGGTGCTGGCAGATTACGGGCCTCCCATAGCTGCTGCCAGGCCCCTAATCTGCCATGGGCCCCTATATACCGCCTCCTCATGCTGCTGCCAAGTCCAGAGTCTCTCATGGGTCCCTGTACGGCCTCCCATTGCTGCTGTCTCCATCGCCACACTCTGCCATGTGCCACATTCAGGTCTCTCACACACTGCTGTTGTGTTTGAATTTTTTGACATAGGGTGCTGGCAGATTACGGGCCTCCCATAGCTGCTGCCAGGCCCCTAATCTGCCATGGGCCCCTATATACCGCCTCCTCATGCTGCTGCCAAGTCCAGAGTCTCTCATGGGTCCCTGTACGGCCTCCCATTGCTGCTGTCTCCATCGCCACACTCTGCCATGTGCCACTTTCAGGTCTCCTCTTCACACTGCTTGTGTTTTCAATTTTTTGACATAGGGTGCTGGCAGATTACGGGCCTCCCATAGCTGCTGCCAGGCCCCTAATCTGCCATGGGCCCCTATATATACCGCCTCCTCATGCTGCTGCCAAGTCCAGAGTCTCTCATGGGTCCCTGTACGGCCTCCCATTGCTGCTGTCTCCATCGCCACACTCTCTGCCATGTGCCACTTTCAGGTCTCCTCACACACTGCTGTGTTTTCAATTTTTTGACATAGGGTGCTGGCAGATTACGGGCCTCCCATAGCTGCTGCCAGGCCCCTAATCTGCCATGGGCCCCTATATACCGCCTCCTCATGCTGCTGCCAAGTCCAGAGTCTCTCATGGGTCCCTGTACGGCCTCCCATTGCTGCTGTCTCCATCGCCACACTCTGCCATGTGCCACATTCAGGTCTCTTCACACTGCTTGTGTTTTCAATTTTTTGACATAGGGTGCTGGCAGATTACGGGCCTCCCATAGCTGCTGCCAGGCCCCTAATCTGCCATGGGCCCCTATATATACCGCCTCCTCATGCTGCTGCCAAGTCCAGAGTCTCTCATGGGTCCCTGTACGGCCTCCCATTGCTGCTGTCTCCATCGCCACACTCTGCCATGTGCCACTTTCAGGTCTCCTCACACACTGCTGTGTGTTGAATTTTTTGACATAGGGTGCTGGCAGATTACGGGCCTCCCATAGCTGCTGCCAGGCCCCTAATCTGCCATGGGCCCCTATATACCGCCTCCTCATGCTGCTGCCAAGTCCAGAGTCTCTCATGGGTCCCTGTACGGCCTCCCATTGCTGCTGTCTCCATCGCCACACTCTGCCATGTGCCACTTTCAGGTCTCCTCACACACTGCTGTTGTGTTTGAATTTTTTGACATAGGGTGCTGGCAGATTACGGGCCTCCCATAGCTGCTGCCAGGCCCCTAATCTGCCATGGGGGCCCCTATATACCCGCCTCCTCATGCTGCTGCCAAGTCCAGAGTCTCTCATGGGTCCCTGTACGGCCTCCCATTGCTGCTGTCTCCATCGTCTCCCACACTCTGCCATGTGCCACTTTCAGGTCTCTTCACACACTGCTGTTGTGTTTGAATTTTTTGACATAGGGTGCTGGCAGATTACGGGCCTCCCATAGCTGCTGCCAGGCCCCTAATCTGCCATGGGCCCCTATATACCGCCTCCTCATGCTGCTGCCAAGTCCAGAGTCTCTCATGGGTCCCTGTACGGCCTCCCATTGCTGCTGTCTCCATCGCCACACTCTGCCATGTGCCACTTTCAGGTCTCCTCACACACTGCTGTTGTGTTGAATTTTTTGACATAGGGTGCTGGCAGATTACGGGCCTCCCATAGCTGCTGCCAGGCCCCTAATCTGCCATGGGCCCCTATATACCGCCTCCTCATGCTGCTGCCAAGTCCAGAGTCTCTCATGGGTCCCTGTACGGCCTCCCATTGCTGCTGTCTCCATCGCCACACTCTGCCATGTGCCACATTCAGGTCTCTTCACACTGCTGTGTTTTCAATTTTTTGACATAGGGTGCTGGCAGATTACGGGCCTCCCATAGCTGCTGCCAGGCCCCTAATCTGCCATGGGCCCCTATATACCGCCTCCTCATGCTGCTGCCAAGTCCAGAGTCTCTCATGGGTCCCTGTACGGCCTCCCATTGCTGCTGTCTCCATCGCCACACTCTGCCATGTGCCACTTTCAGGTCTCCTCACACTGCTGTTGTGTTGAATTTTTTGACATAGGGTGCTGGCAGATTACGGGCCTCCCATAGCTGCTGCCAGGCCCCTAATCTGCCATGGGCCCCTATATATACCGCCTCCTCATGCTGCTGCCAAGTCCAGAGTCTCTCATGGGTCCCTGTACGGCCTCCCATTGCTGCTGTCTCCATCGCCACACTCTGCCATGTGCCACATTCAGGTCTCTTCACACTGCTGGTGTGTTGAATTTTTTGACATAGGGTGCTGGCAGATTACGGGCCTCCCATAGCTGCTGCCAGGCCCCTAATCTGCCATGGGCCCCTATATACCGCCTCCTCATGCTGCTGCCAAGTCCAGAGTCTCTCATGGGTCCCTGTACGGCCTCCCATTGCTGCTGTCTCCATCGCCACACTCTGCCATGTGCCACTTTCAGGTCTCCTCACACACTGCTGTTGTGTTGAATTTTTTGACATAGGGTGCTGGCAGATTACGGGCCTCCCATAGCTGCTGCCAGGCCCCTAATCTGCCATGGGCCCCTATATACCGCCTCCTCATGCTGCTGCCAAGTCCAGAGTCTCTCATGGGTCCCTGTACGGCCTCCCATTGCTGCTGTTTCCATCGCCACACTCTGCCATGTGCCACATTCAGGTCTCTTCACACTGCTGTGTGTTGAATTTTTTGACATAGGGTGCTGGCAGATTACGGGCCTCCCATAGCTGCTGCCAGGCCCCTAATCTGCCATGGGCCCCTATATACCGCCTCCTCATGCTGCTGCCAAGTCCAGAAGTCTCTCATGGGTCCCTGTACGGCCTCCCATTGCTGCTGCCAGGAGGCAGCAGGGTCGCAGCAGTGTCAGTGGAGGCAAACGGCCACGGAGTAGAGCACCAGCTCCACTGCAGCCTACCACCACGGCCAGTAGTGGTGCCGGTGTGCACGGAGGAAGTAGCAGTCAGCCAGTGAGGAGTAGAGGAGGCAAAGTTTCCTACTCTGCGGTGTGGCAATTTTTCGTCAAGCCGCCCGAGGAAGTAAACGTAGCCGTATGTCGACTATGTGGCCAGAAAGTCAAGCGTGGCCAGGGGGCCCATGTTGGGACTACAGCGTTGCGTCAGCATATGCAGCGTCGCCATTCGGTGGCCTGGGAAAACCGTGATAAAGATACGGCGGTTCTGCCTGCCCCAGCCCAGGGTTCCATTTTGTCATAGGGTGCTGGCAGATTACAGGCCTCCCATAGGTGCTGCCAGGCCCCAAATCTGCCATGGACCCCCGTACCGCCTGGTCACGCTGCTGCTGGGCCCACAGTGTGACCTGGGTCCCTGTACCCGCCTCCCATTGCTCCCACTCTGCCATGTGCCACTTTCAGGTCTCCTCACACTCCTGCTGGTTTCCATTTTGTCATAGGTTGCTGTATGGCCTCCCATTGCTGCTGCCTCCACCGCCACACTGTGGCTCCAAACACTGGTTTTGGCCCCGTGACTGGCCATGAGTGAAGTGTGCGGTGATTCTAAGATCGACGGCACTCATCTGCATGTCATACTGAGTGACAGTATTATTTCTCTTCCCCAGCAGACTCCAAGGGCATTTAAATTAAAGGTACAGTGTTCTGCACTAATATTAAGTCTCTCTGAAGCCTAGAAACACCCTTTTTTAAGTTAAATTCACAGCGAATTTATTCGACTCGAATCGAATATTGTCCACGAATTCGCCGAATCAGTCGAATCGAATTTTTCATTTCTTCGCAGCAGGATCACTCTACTTCACACATATGGGGTATGTTTTTCTCTTGTGCCATTTTCACCAATGCCTAGGGACAAGGCTGAGGCCGCCATGGGGGAATACTCAACCTTAAGGCAGGCCTCTGCTTTTAGAGATAACGTACACCATGTACATCTGCACCATAACTGTTCTTGGGTCCCCATATAAATGTACATCTTCCCAATGTAACTTGCAATTAGGCAGGCAGTCCCAAACAGACTACAGACACCTCTCCAGCATTTTTGACTACTGCTCTCAGCAGCAAAATGGAACCCTGCTGTGCACCTAGCATGGACTCCACTTTACTGTAACTATTGAACTTCTGTACCTCTGTAAAGGCTGGGGACCTCTGCAATGCAGTTCCACTCTGGTTGCTATGAGAGACAGAGCACGATGTGGGGAGATCCGAAAACATCTCTCTCTTGGCTAGTGGTTAGTTCACCTATATCAGGCACATGCTACCGACAGGCTCCTCGCTGACTGTAACTCCATTGCCCCTAGAAAACCACCTGTAAAACTTGCACTTGGATGACCCTTAACAAGCTGACTCTTCATACCCCATGTGTTACATTACCCAAACCTAAGACCATAGGTGCCAGTTACTTTAGGAGGCAACGTTTTCAACATCTTTCTGATGACACAGCAAAATATTACAAAGTCCCACAGATAAGTACAATCTTTTTCCTAAGTCCCAAATCCCTACCCTTAACTCAGGTAAAAGTGATGCCCTGACATACACTTCAAAGGTAGAGTCCATGTGAATAAAGGTCCATTAGTGGCATTCCCCAGTGGCTGGTATCTTTGAGGCAAACCCCAGGTCTCAAAGATCTCCTACATCATGGCAGCCCCCAGAAGGTTAGCTGCAGGTTCTCTCTCTACAACCTCAGGGCTTTCTGGTTAGGTCCTGCTCAATGTCCATGTCTTCCTCTTTTCCGGACCACTGTCCTCCTTTTATATCACAGGATCAGTGGATTGGACCCAGAGAAAACCCAGAGAAAGTATAAAAAAATATTAACCCTCACTCTCCCATCCGGGGCAGCACATAACTAGCTAATTTGCAACCCACTTACAAATATGTGGGAAGGACCACAAGAAAACTAGAAGTGAGAATAGGGGAACATGTGAACAACATCAAAAAGAGCTTCTGCAAATATAGTGTGTCAAATCACTTTAGACTTTGTCATAACTGTGACCCCACACTATTCACGTTTTGTGGAAAAACATTGGCGGGGTATGGATATGAGAATAGAAGTTTCTAGAAATGAGAAGAAATGAATTTACGACAGGATACATTGGTCCCTATGAGTTTGAGCATATTGATATATAATTAATAAAATATGTGAACTGCGCTTAGGTAAACAAATCCAAAAAACAAAACATTGTTAAAAATAAAACCTTAGAAGAGCTGCAAACACACTATGAGATATTGTCATAGTCACAAAATACATTAAAAAAATGTTGTGTGCTAATTCATGAATAAATGAAAATTGACTATAAAGGGGCTATACATCAATAAATGATATGCATCTAGTATTAATCAACTGAATGTTCAAATCCACAGGTGCAATAAAAGTAAAAATATTAAAGTCCCAAAAGTTGAAATGGTGATGAATATTGTGCCACTCCAAATGACAGCTATATGATGGGAGTATCTCCCAGAAATTACAAGGATCTTCCACCTTGGTAGCACTATGCAAGGCTTATCAAACAATTCATGCCCTTCTGATTAGAGAAAAGTCAACATGTGTATTATTAATGGCAATCATCAGACGGTAGAAGAAACCAAATTAATCCCAAAAGACACTTAGGAAAAATTCCACAAATATGTATTCACCCTGGTGTTAACATTTCAAAGAGAAAAGATCTCCACATAGTGTGTACCATTCAAATTACCCCTTTATTATAAAAAGTAGAACACTCACATTAAAATGAAGTAAAAACATCAAAATGGCTTCCTGCAGACTTCCAGTTGCACAATGACATCACAGCAAGCTCTGCCGGACGCATTTCATCACACCTGACGTCCTTTGGGGCACCTTGATATTCAATTTTCATTTAGTCATAATTTAGCACAACACTTTTTAATGCATATTGATATATAAACATTTAGATATTTATTTGAATTGTTTAATTTATAATTCTTCATATCCTGTTCTTTTTTTGTCTTGTATTATTTATATTTTAATATGAGGTGATTTTGTTGGTTTTTATATTTGGACTTGTTTTATGGTATATTGTTTACAGGGGTGATATAGGTAGAATCCCCCCAACAATTTACCTGAGTAGCCATGTCAAAGTATAGGTGGTGGCTGTAAATTACTGCTGCAGCGTTGTTTTTATACTTGACATGGTGAAGAAAGAGTAAACGTTTAATTTGTTTTAAATATGGGTGTACATACATGACTGCTGGGAGTAGTAAGAGGATTTAACATACTAAAAACTGATTGCTGCATTTATACTGATAAGTCATTTACATCATGACATTTGTCAGTAGCCACAATAGCCATGTTTGCTTAAGTTGTTTCTTTTTTTTGGTATACATCAGCTGTATCAGCACTTTTATAAGGTGTATGGCAATAGCAATATGATTGACATGAGATATGGGAGAAAAGACTATCAATAGATATTAACTGGTATACATGAGGTCAAAATCTGCCTTGTAATCTTAGTGAGACCGTTGGTAGTGCTTTAAATATAGTTATGCAGAAAGCTATTTTAGTTGCCTAGTTTACCTAGTGACCTTTCCTGAAGATACAGAGTCCCAATAAGGATGCTGAGTGCTCTAGGAGGTCTTATAGGGTATAGTCATAGATGCGAGCCGGAAGATCTAGCTCCTGAAGATGTCGCTTAATGATGATGAAACATATTGGGCAGTAACTTCTGGAGATGTCACACCCTTTTTCTGGTGGTCAACTACAGCGGCTATCTTGGCCAAGGCAAAATATAATTTTAAAGCTAAAGATATTGTTTTTTATGTGCAATTTTTTTTATAATTTTTAAAAATAAATAGTATTTTCACTAATTGGAGCTTTTCTGTCTTACTTAATGTATGCCACCTGCTGAAAGTACCCTGGAGATCTGTACTCAGAAGGAAAGAGTGGGGGGAAACAACTAAAGAGAAGCAGAGCAGAACCTACCCAGGAGTGGATGTTACAGAGGGCTATACTGACTCACTTGGTAAAACAAAGGGTCAATATAATCTGGTGAGTGCAGTGTGGTATCCCTAGCCGCAGGATTCTTCCTCTGTTGGTAAAATACCCACCTAAGATCACCACCTTTATCAGCATTCTTTCCAGTCATTTGTGGATTACACACTGACCTTTTCTTTATCTCTTTTGTTTGAACTCAGATTTCAGAAGGAATCCATATGCTGGTTCTGGGTCACTCTTGTTTATTTATTACAGGTACTTATATAGCACTGTCAATTTACACAACGCTTTACATATATATTGTACATTCACTGCAGTCCCTAACCCTCAAGGGGCGTACAATCTAAGGTCCCTAACTCACACATACTAGGGCCAATTAACCTATCAGCATGTCTTTGGAGTGTGCAAGGAAACCGAGGAAACCCACGCAGGCACAGGGAGAACATGCAAACTCCAGGCAGGTGATGCTGTGGTTGAGATTCAAACCAATGACCCTAGTACTGCCAGGTGGAAGGGCTAACCATTTAGCCACTGTGCTGCTCAGGCTGAGGACTCTCTCCCTGCTAACATGTGACAGCACTTGACCAATCACTAAATCCTAGGGGTCACATACACACATAGAGTGAGTCACAAACTTCACCATATTTGGTACAATCAAGTATTTTCTTTGCTACTAGCCCTTGAATGGAGTTTTATTATACAGGATTTATATAGCTCCAACAGTTTGCTCAGTGCTTTACAATATAAAGGGAGACAATACAGCAACAATACAGTTCAACACAAGAGAGCTAAGAGGGCCCTGCTCCTTGGAGCTTACAATCTAAGAGTATATGGATGTAAAAAGATAAGGTGAGTGTGTGCTACTGGGAAGAGGGGCATTTGGGAGAACATATTGCTTTTCCCTGCATTGGCAAAGAAGAGGTTTGCTTACACTGCAGATATTGCCAGGTTTTCAGCATTGTGCACATTCTTGTTAAACCCCCAGTACATGAGCAATCGCCACAGTGACTAGCATCTCAAAAAAAAGCATAGTTCAGAATCCATTATTGTTGAGAGGAGGGGGGGCAGGGAAGGCAAAGTATATGCAGGGTAAACTTCAGCATTGATATGTACATTCTAAATGACTTATTGACTTACTATATATTTTGTCATGTACTGTATATACCTGTATTTTGGTAGAGAATAAGCTGAATGTCTAAGTCAAAGTTGTGTAACTCCTTGGCGCATTGTGATATGCAAACTACTTTTGCAAATGAGAGACGGAAAAAAAACCCAATGCAAATCTATTTCCATATAGTCCAGGTGTTAGATGGTTAGTTTCCCAGCTACAAGCACATCTGAAAACTAATTTATTAGCATAAAAGAAATAAAATCATTTTTATCGTTAACTTTGTTGAGATAAAACTCAGTTTTTATAGCATTAGTCTTCTGTTTATCATGCAAATGAATCTTAATGGAACGCTCCCTAAACTGCAAATGGCAGGTGTAGTTTGGCCAATGCACATATGAGGAACAAACCATGGCAGTCAATGTTTCCTAGCAACAGATGCATCTATGATAGAGCCTTTCAGTGTGCAGCTGCTGTGGAACTAAAACTGACATATCATCCTTCTAAGCACTTCCTCAGACTGATTA